CGAAAAGTCCAAGATCCCTCTGTCAGCGGGCTTCGCCCACACAGCGGACTCCGAGGGCTGTGAGCGCACGGCTTCCTTCGCAACAGGAATCAATTTTAGGGTCAAAATGCTTACAGTGAAATTCTTTACATTTGGGGTTAAAATGCTTACAGTGTCCAATATTGATCATATCTCTTTACTAATTTTTAATATGTTTTTACTGATTTGGAAGAGAGAAGAAGGGAGAGGGAAGAGAGAGAGAAAAACACTGGTGAGAAAGAGAAGCATCAATGGCCCACCTCCTACACACCCCTGACTGGGGATTGAGCCCGGGCATGTGCCCTGACTGGGAATCGAACCAGAGACCTCTCCATGCATGGGGCGATGCTCAACCAACTGAGCCACCATGGCCAGGCCTTTACTAATTTTTAAATACCTAATGTATGGTTTCCAGCTGGAGTATCTAAACTTTCTGTAGGCATCACAGTAAGGGCCTTTATTTTCATCTTCTGTAAATTTAAAAGAACCACCAAAGATGATTCTTCTAGACCAGTGGTTCTCAACCTTGGCTGCACGTTAGAATCACCTGGGAATCTTTTTAAAATCCTGATTTCTGGGCCTCATCCTCTGGAAATTCTGTTTCTTTGTTACTCATGTTGTGGCCCCACCTCATAACAAAGAAACAGAATTTCCGGAGGATGAGGCCCAGAAATCAGGATTTTAAAAAGATTCCCAGGTGATTCTAATGTGCAGCCAAGGTTGAGAACCACTGCTCTAGACTATTTACGCTCTTTCATCAGAGACAATGTCCAATCTTCCACCTTCATTCTGGTAGTGCATGTATTGTAATGATTGATAATAAATAATAGTAATAAGCTTCCTTACAGAAGGCATTCCCTGGAAATTCAGGGAATGGAGGTTTCACCGTGTGCTTCACAGATTTCATGTCCTCAACTACAAAAACTAGACGAAATCAAGCCACTTCAGGAAACAAGGGAGAGGGGAAAAATAAAGAGAGTGAAAACTGTTTTGAATACATCACTCAGAACTATGACTATATTCTATGCTTGTGAGGTGTCCACATTCCTTGGCCTCCTTCTAGGAGCCTTTCAAATCTGGCCCCACTCCACTTGCCTGCCCTCCCTTCCATCCCATCCTACTCATCCACGCCCTGCTGCTCGGCCTATAGTGCCCGCACCCTGTCCTCTGCCCGTGCAGCCCGTGCCCACTTCCTGCGAAGCTGAATTCCAGTGCCACCCTCTCTATGGACCGTGTTGCTTTCCTCCTGTTGACCTTGCCTTCTTGTCTAGGGATCGTCAGTCCGATGAGAAAGGCCATTCTTGCACGTCTCTGGGGAGCTCACCATGTCCTTGTGGACAGGGTCCAGCACGTTAACATCTCTGAATCCCTAGGATATAGATGACTTCCTCTGGACAGAAGAAACTCCACAGCCTGCGAGTGAGTGAATGACCTGCGGCAGAGGCTGTGGCATAAAAAGGAGGAACTGACTATCTTGGCATCAATGAGGTTAGGGTCTGGTAGAGCAGATGAAACGTAGACACATCATTATAAAACGAGCTATTTAGTGTAATTGTCTTAGAGCCCAGTTATACACATGCTTTCTCTCTATGTATTTGCTTTGTATTAAATACTAAGGAGTATTTCCCCACATACCTATGTCGTCTTATTATTATGCCAGTCTTTTTCGTTCGATTACTGATTTATTTGTTGCACTCCTGTGATTTTAGAGCCCGCCTCCTTGATTTCATGTTTTAGAAACAGGTTAAAGGAAAAGAACTAAACCAACCTGCTCAGTAGTCCCAGAACTGCCGCACAGCTACCGTAGAATTAATTCCCCTTTGAAACGAGCGCTGGCTCCTGTGCGTCAGACGGTGCCACGCATGGGGCGGCCTTGCCAGGGGCCGCCTCCCCACGGAGCCCGAGTGTGTCACCCACGCTGGAGTCTGCCCAGGAGCTTTGGGGAAGTTTCCCACACCGTTAACAACTGCGCCTCGCCAGGATTCAAAAGTTCATATTTTTCATCAGTACCCGTTGCCCAAGTGTCTTTGGACCGGGTTTCTGGCACAGACTTGTTCAGGAAATAGGACGGGAGGAACTCCTATTTTACATTTTAAGTGAAAAAACACTCACAAGAACATTACGCAATAATAATTTTTAAACAGTTGGTTGGTGGTGAAGTTCAGGCTCCACATCTCATGACAATATTTTGGTTATGGGAGCTGCCATCTCAGGTCCCTGCAGTGCAACCAGCATGTAATTTCCCTAATTAACCTGCTGAATCTAACAGGCTAGAATGTAACGTCACTGTTAGAAGTGAGCACAAGGCCGCTTGTCTTCTGTTCCTAATTACAAGTGGAAGAAATTAATGACAGCAGATTTCCAGGAGAAAATCAACTGTCCTACTCATTTGGGCCCTGAAGTCCTGTGCCTGTGCCTTGATTTGACATGAAGATCAGTAAGTGTTGCCATAAGATTCATACCCATCTGAAAATTAACTTTAGCAGGGGTCGTGGTGATCAGCATTAGTTTTTAAGTTGCAGAGGAGATAAAATATTTATTACCCCCCCAAAAAAGAAAGGGAAAGTTCCCCATAATTAAAGCCTTGATCATAGTATAAGTATGTTTTAACCCTACTTTATTTCAATAAGATATAACTTTATCATTTCTTTTATTTTTTCCTTCAATATATTGCAACTTTCTATAAGCCCATGTAGGTATATCCATATGTAATAAAAAACAATAGTTTAGAATCAAGTATTTATTATAGTTTTAAATGTCTAAGCATTAATCAATTAATCAACTTTTTATTTTTTAAAAATCTTTATTGTTGAAAGTATTACATATGTTCCCTTTTTTCCCCCATTGACCCCTTCTAGCCTGCCCCCACCCCCCTACCTCTACCCCTACCCAGGCCTTCACCACGCTATTGTCCATGTCCATGGGTTATGCATGTATGCATATAGAAGGTCTTTGGTTGATCTCTTCCCACCCACCCTCCCAGCCCCGCCTTCCCTCTGAGATTCCTTAGTCTGTTCCGTGCTTCTGTGTCTCTGGATCTATTTGGCTATCAGTTTATTTTGTTCATTAGATTCCACATATGAGTGAGACCATGTGACACTTGTCTTTCTCTGACTAGCTTATTTCACTTAGCATAATACTCTCCAGGCACCTCCATGCTGTCTCAAAGGGTAAGCAGTTATTAACTAGAGGCTCAGTGCACGGGTTTGTGCACCGCTGGGTCCCTCAGCCTGGCCTGTGCCCTCTCGAAATCCGGGACCCCCTGGGGGGGGGGGATGTAGTAGTGCCGGAAGTGGCAGGCGGCCAGGGAGGAGCCCGAGCCCGGGCCTGGCGCTGCTCCCTCTCATCCCGGCCCCGCTGCGCCTGCCGCTGCCACAGGTCGAGCCTGTGGGCTGGGGGCAGCTCCTGTGTTGAGCGTCTGCCCCCTGGTGGTCAGTGTGCATCATAGCGACCGGTCATTCTGCATATTAGGTTTTTGTTATATCGGGTGTGCAGAGCCCCGAGGGTCTCACTGAGAGGCATGAAACATGTGAGACTGTAGATGAGGAGATGGGATGTGCCCAAGAAAGGCCGTCCCAGCGAAGCTTTCCCAACGGGAACAGCAGGAGGCAGCTGGGTGACATCGCGGTAGAGAGGATGCGAGACTGGAAAGCCACGCTGGGGTCGGGAGCGTGAATGCAGACAAAGACGCCTAGGGAATGAGCTGAACAGGAGAAGCTGATGGAAGGAACTGTGAGCCACGCGTGGAGTTTTCCAGGAGGCTTCTCTGTGCCGTTCTGAAGGTGGTGCCAAGAAAGGAGAAAGACATGAAAGCTGGGAACAAGGAAAGGGGCTCCCAATGTACTTCCTGGGGTGGGGGTGGGGGTGGGGGTGGGGGGGGAATCGCTTCCACAGGGAAATGGGAAGAGGGCTTCCTTGGCTGACGGGGTGTTACTGTGATGTGATGGCCTTCAACCTCTCACCTCAGCACCCCCCCCACCCCGCCCCCCACTTCTGGTTGTCATGAACCCCCCACTTCTGGCAATGTATTCCATCTTCCCTGTGGGCCTCCCCATCCCTGCCCTCGCCTTACCTGCAGGGCACCTGAATTCGGTCTAAGCCACGGCTCCTCCTTCGGGTGGCGCCCTCGCCCTGCCCAGCCCCGTCCTGCTGGAGAGACCCGGTTAGTTGGGGGATTGAAAGGAACGGAGCTGAATCCAGCCTTGACCTCCACCACCTGTGCACACCCATCCCTCACCCACTCCTCCCCTTTCGTTGAAATTCTCCAAAACACGGCCAGGTCTTCCGTGACGCCCGCACCTGCGTGTGGCTCTTGGCTCCGGGCGGCTGTACCACCCACCAGACCAGGTGCCCGGTCTCCCGCCCTCTTCGGTCCCCAGAGCAGCGGGAGCGGGAGGGAGGCACAGGAAGGGGGGCGGCTGCGTGCACCCTCACTCGGCGCAGGCGGCAGCAAGAAGGACGACCAACCACCAGCAGCAGCCCGGCGCCCATGTCCAGCGCGCACCGCCCGATCGGCTCAGACACCGAGCCCACGCACATTCCATCTCCGCGGGGCTGTGCCCACCGCCTCCCTCCGCACGCCTCTCCTCCCCGCCCCCCCACCCGCCCCGTCTCCTTTCTCCCCCAAACCCCCGCTGGCCACACAGTCTCCCCGAGGAAAGCGAGCCCCCTTCACCCCGAACCTCCAGGAGCGCAGCAAACCCTGCAGAAGTGGACGCGGAGCCCCGGGTGGGCGTGTCGGGGGATTGCGCCCCCGCCCCGCCCCGCCCCGTGCGCGGCCGCGGCCAAATTCAAGTGCGCGCAGGACGCGGCGGGTCCGAACCCGCTCCGCTCGCGCCGCACACCGTCCGCCGCCTTCCCCGCGCGGACCCAGGAACGCAGCCCCCCCGAGGGCCCCGGCGCCCCCCCGCCCCGCCCCGCCCCGAGGAGCCGGTGTGAAGGCGGAGCCACAGGGCGGCCACGTCCCCCCCAGGTCCCGCCCTCGCCGTCTCCGGCACCTGGGAGCCGCTCCCGAGGCAGATGTCCCTTTAAGGTCCGCGTCGGACCCGGCGGACTTGGCCCCACGCGCCGCGCGGCTGTATTTGTCCATGTCCCCGCGCTGGGCGGCCGCCAGCGGCAGCGCGGAGGGGCGGGCGGCGCGGCGCCTGCGATGTGACCCGCGTGGAGCGGACTGAGAAGCCTTCGTGGGAAGCACCGGGCAGCACTCGGCGGCTCCCGGGCGCCCCGGCGGCGCGACAGGCAGCGACCCCGACCCGCAGCGGAGGGCGGCGGCGGAGGGGCCCCGCGCGCGGCTCCGGCCCCGGTCCGGCGGCTCCACCCGGCGCCCCGCGGCCGCTCCGGCCATGGCCCCCCGGCGCCCCGCCCGCCCCGGGCTCGCCGTCACCGGCTGCTGGCTCCTCACCGGTGAGCATCTCCTGCGCGGGCCGGGCTCGGGGAGGGGGCGCACGGCGCGGGGGACTCGCGGGCGCTCGGGCGTCTGGGCGGGTGGGAGGCCGGAGCGGAGCCCTGGCGTCCGGCCTCGGGTGGGAATCGGGGTGGCAGTCGGGTCGCCGCCCTCCGCCGCGGCGGTGGGAGGGAGGGAGGCCGGCGGAGACCGGGGCGGCGGGGCGGACGCTCGGATCCAGCGTTTTGCCGAGGCGCGCTGTGGCCGGGCTCTCCGCCGGCGCCCCCCTCCCGGGAGCGAGGTAACTAGAGGGCGCCGGGCGCCGGCCCTCGGGCTGCTCCGGGCGGCACGGCCGCCTCTTCCCGCCGCCAAGTTTGCGAAGTTTTCTGCTGCGCAGGGACGCGGGCAGGAGGGACGCGGGCTGAACGGCCGCTGGGCCGGACGTGCGCCTGCCCGGGCCCCGGAGCGGACGGGGCACCGAGGGGGCGGGGGGCAGGGAGCGCTCGGCCTGCAAAGGCGACGGGCGACGCGCATGGAACGCAGCGCGCAGCGAGCGCTGTCAGTTGTGCAGAAGTAGGTGCTTTTGAGGAGGGACCTAAACACAGGGTGTCGATGCACAGTGCCATCAATTTAGAGAAGGGTGACTCCTAGGATTTTCCAAGATTGTTCCCAATGATTAACCCGCGATCACAACCTTTTTTTTTTTTTTTTACCGGTTACTAATTGGGGAGGAAAGGTTGAATGGTCCAAGAGAGAAGACAGATGGGTGCAGTTCTGTGTTTTTTAAAAATGACCATGTGAAGCGTTTAAGGAATGGCTGGCTTTGGCGAATATCCTCAGAATTGGGTTGTTCAGTGTCCTCACAGCGGGGTGCTCATTGGTGCTGTTAATCTAGTGTTTTACCACCAAAAACGGGGGAGCCAGCCGGTGTAGCCCGGCTCAGAGGGCCCAGGGTTAACTTCCAAGCAGATCACTTGGAAAGAGGTGATTCGCAGCAGAGGTCCTCTTTTCCCCACAGCCGGCTGGTGTAGGGAGCTCATGATGGGCCCCTGGCAGTTCATCCCAACAGTTCCCACTCCTCCGGAAATGTCCAGCCACCCACACTTCGGGCAGCTTCGGAGCCAGTGAATGGTTTAATTTATCAGCTTCTGTCAGGACCCTTTACACCAGCGGTTCTCCACCTGGGGGTCGAACGACCCTTTCACAGGGGTCGCCTAAGACCATGGGAAAACACATATATAATTACATATTGTTTTTGTGATTCATCACTATGCTTTAATTATGTTCAGTTTGTAACAATGAAAATACATCCTGCATATCAGATATTTACATGACGCTTCATACCAGTAGCAACATGACAGTTATGAAATAGCAACGAAAATAATTTGATGGTTGGGGGTCCCCACAACATGAGGAACTGTATTAAAGGGTCGCGGCATTAGGAAGGTTGAGAACCACTGCTTTACACGTTTGACCTCTGATGCTTTTCCTGGCTCACATTGTTTGGAGGTGACTGGCCTGTTTTTGTTGTGCAAAATCTGAATTGCTTACTAACTATTCAAACGGTGCCTTTTCAATTTGCCAAATAAGCAGTCACTAAGGCAGAAATGGTCAAATGATCCTCGCATGGCCTCCAAAAAGACAAGAACAAGGCTTGAGAAAATGTTGTTTCAGAAGTTACAGTCTCACCTGTGTATGATTTTTCATTTATATGTAACTTTATCACTAACACATGTAATTATTTCTCTATCTGCCTGTACATAGAGAAGCATTTTCCGGTTCCGCTGCTTCTCTTTCTCCGGGCCTAAAACCGTCGCAGGTTGCGTACTGTGGGTTTTCTGCAATTGTTGGGATAAGGCGCCTTGCTAATTCCAGGAAGGGACTTAAAGGGAAATGGTGCATAGATGTTTCAAAATCACATTTACTTCCCTTTTGTGTGTGTCTGTGTGTATACATCTATATGTTATTCAATCGTATTGAAGTGTAGAACGTAAAAAGTTACTGTGTCCGAGTTAACAGCTTCCTCACGTGCTGTATTTACCAGTTTCACAACGCAGGGATCTGAAATTGGACTTTTCTTCCTTTTCTTTGCTGGTTTCCTGTCAGTCGTCGCGTTGTCAGGTTGCTTGGAAACTTCTCATAGAGGCATCGAGTCCACACCCAACCTGGGTCCCAGCCCCAGCCCCTCCCCCCACCCCCTAACCCCCAGCGCATACTCCTGCAGGGCGCACTTCCTGTCTCATCTGAACCCAAACTCTACCCTATGCTGCTCACAAGTAATTCTCATTATATCTGAGTTTTTAGCCAGAACACTCTGGTGGTTCCCGGTCATCTTCAGATAAAATAAAACATTCTCGACTGGCCGTGCAGGTGTGGCCTGTCTGGCTCCCGGTACCTCCTCCCCGCCTCCTGTCAGGCTCCTGCAGCTGTGGGAACAGACTGCCACGGATTTGATGGTTTAAAAGAAGACACGTGTCCTACCTTCCAGTTCCCAGGTCGGAAGTCTCCGGGCCGGGACCAGGGGGAAGCACAGCGGTCTGTGGTCAGCAGGCTCCAGGGGCAATCTGTCCAGCTGCAGGGGCCGCCTGCAGCCCGGGCTTGGGGCTCCCCCGCCACCTCCCACGCCAGCAGAGTGGCCTGTCAGATCTTTCCTCGCCTCTCTCTCGCCTGCTTCCTACAGGCCCCTTCTCATCCCCTGGGCCCCCTGAACTGCCCAGGGTCCTCTCCCATCTCAAGGTCCTCAATGTAGTCACATCTGCTGAGTCCCTTTTGCCATATAAGGAAACGTATTCACAGGCTCCAAGGATTGGGACATGGACCTCTGTGGGGGCGTTATTTTGCGCGTTAAAATCTCTCAACGTGGCCCTCCAGGTGGGGCTCAGCTGGTTGGGCGCCGTCCTGTAGGCACAGGTGGCAGGTTCTTCTCCCGGTCAGGCCACATACGCAGGTTGGGAGTTCAGTGCCCTGGTTGATCCCCAATAGGGCACATGTGGGAGGAAACCAATGGATGCTTCGCTCTGGCACTGGCTCTCTCCCTCCCTCCTTTTCACGCTCTAAAAGTCAATTCTTTAAAAAACAAACAAACCCTGAACATAACTTCCCATGACAGCTGTCACCTTTCCTTACTTTGCCCATGATCCTCTTGCTCACTTTGCTCCCGTGGCCATGACCTCGTTGCTTTCTGCATCTAGAAGAGAACCCCACCCTTCCTTCCCACCACCACGGCCCTCTAGACCAGGGGTGGGCAAACTTTTTGACTCGAGGGCCACAATGGGTTCTTAAACTGGACCGGAGAGCCGGAACAAAAGCATGGATGGAGTGTTTGTGTGAACTAATATACATTCAAAGTAAACATCATTACATAAAAGGGTACGGTCTTTTATTTCAATAGTTTTATTCATTTCAAACGGGCCAGGTCCGGCCCGCGGGCCGTAGTTTGCCCACGGCTGCTCTAGACACACGTTCCCCAGCCTTCCAACCTGTTTCCCTCACAGCGAACCACCACCATCGCAATGCGTCTCCATTAGGGTTAGAACTGTCTTGGATTGGCAGTTTCCAATATTTAAAAACTAGAGGCCTGTTGCATGAAAAGATTCGTGCAATAGGCCTTCCCTTCCCCTGGCTGCCGGCACTGGTTTTCCTCCAGCACCTGGGAACCAGGCCTTTGCTCTGGCCAGAGCCGCCTTCAAAGCCTTCGCTGCATCTTCGCTCCGCCTCGCGCCTACGTATGCAAATTAACCGCCATCTTTGTTGGCAGCTAATTTGCATATCTCGCTGATTAGCCCATGGGAGGCGTAGCGAAGGTATGATCAATTACCATGTTTGTCTATTATTAGATAGGATGATTCATTTGGAAAGATGTCCTCCCTTATGTCCAAATAAAGTCTTCCTGGTTATGTTATGTCTGTCAGAGTCCTAGTCAAAAACTAGTGGCACGTATAAAGGGTTTAGCGGAAGGGAGTTTAATGAAGGGGCTGTTTACAGAGGAACTGAGGAGATGGGGGAGCCCCTAACAGTGGGAAGACAACAGTGGGAAGAAAAGCCAGTACCTTCCTGGCCTGAGGAGGGCGCCCCGTCCACTGCACCTAGAACTCTGGCTCTGGGAGGGGGGGCCCCCTGGACAGGAGCTGTGGCCCCGGGAGGAGAAACACAGCTGGTGCCAGAGCTGAAGCCCACTCCCTCACTTTGTGCCCACCCCTCCCACTGGCCATGTCCAAATAGATGGCAACCTCCCAGAGGTCAAAGGTCAAAGATACAACGGAGAATAACATGACCTCATGATGCGAGACACATATTGACAACATGTTATGCGTGAGCCCCTGCACCCAGAACTCTACATGTATTATTTCATCTCCATCTTACTAAAAGGGGAAATTTGGAACTGTTACCCATATTTCAGAGATGAAGGAACCAAAAGAGGTTAAAGTCATTTATCCAAGTCCCACAAGGAGTAAATGGCAGCCCCTGCGCTCAGCTCCGGTTTCTGCCTCACGTCTTCTGCTCTGAAACCTGCCACCCGTGCCGTCTTAGTGTCAGTTCGCTTCCTTCTTGCTCAACCTCCAAAGTTTATCCAGGAGTCGCCTGAAGGGCTCTGATAAGGATCTGAGTGATGACGTCAGTGAGTCTGTTCTTTTCATGACTTTCAGGTTTAGAGTGCAATCAGATGATGTCTTTGTCTTACCCGACATGAAGTATAACCTAATGACAGTGCTCTCCCTGGTTATTAAGAATACAACTATAGGGTGGCCCTCGTGATGTTACAGGTCTCTCCTTCCTACAAACAGTTTCGTTGGCCTAGAACCGTGGTTGGCAAACTGCGGCTCGCGAGCCACATGTGGCTCTTTGGCCCCTTGAGTGTGGCTCTTCCACAAAATACCACGAGCGGGCACGCACATACAGTGCGATTGAAACTTCGTGGCCCATGCGCAGAAGTCGGTATTTTGTGGAAGAGCCACACTCAAGGGGCCAAAGAGCCGCATGTGGCTCGCGAGCCGCAGTTTGCCGACCACGGGTCTAGAAG